ACCACTAGGAAATTCAATCTACCATACTATCCCCCAATCCTTTGGGTGTTCTTTTCATAGATGAGAAACCATGTGGTACTACCCCTTATTCCCTTAACCGGATGGTGAGTGGGAGGTGACCATGATACACTTAGATGAGAGATAACCCACATCCATTCAAGTGGGGAGGTAATTTCCATACACATGGGTAAAAAATCGCACAATGATTGCATGGCTGGAAAGTACTTTATAAATACTCGAAGTCACACTAGGTATGAAGGACCATTTTTTACAATTTCTCTTCGAAACTCTCTATTTGTATACCAAAAAGTTATTTCTTCTTCAGAAAATCCAATCACTAATTTTCATGTCGAAAGTACAACGGGGAGATAGCCTAACCTCTTCTTGCAAGTGTTTTATTATTCATCGAAATAGCAAAAGTCACCTTGCTCTGCTAAGGAAGTCGAAAAGTGTTTCATTATTATTTCAAAGAAATTAACATACATATGGAACAATCTTCATTATTTTCCTTTTTCCATCAACACTTTCCTCAAGTTGGTGCAAAGATATTGAGAGAACTCAACTTGGACAATATCTTTCATATCAGCTACAGTTAAACTCTTAGTGAATATATCCACAAAATGTTGGTCACTTCGAACAATGGTATAACAACATTACTTTCCTGTACTTTGAAAATGGTATAACAACTATACTTTCATGTAGCTTTTCTCATATAAAGTAACAAACTTTAATATACGCTGTTCGCTCGTGAAAATCTGGATTAGAAACAATATGTGTGGAAGCTTGATTACTGTAAAAGAATTTTGTTGCACCATATGCACAAAATGTTCAAATCTTTCAAACCTAAATCATTTCACTAGTAGAAGTAGCCATAGCTCGATATGCTACTTTTGCATTTAACTTGATAACCATGTTTTGCTTCTTACTTTTTTAGATGACTAAATTGCCTCCCACAAAGGCACAACATGTAGTAAACCTACAATCAATAGAACACCCATCGTTATCAACATATGTATAAACCGAAATAATGGTATGCCTACTATTGCACGACCACATATTTTGATTGTAACCTTTGAGATATTGTAGGGTTTTATTCACTACATTCACATGCTTAACTTAGGAAACATGAATGAATTGACTAGTATAGCTAACAGCATAAGAGATGACACTCTGAATGATTGCAAAGTAAATAAGTCTCCCTATAGGTCATTGAAATTGATCAACATGGGGAATATTTCACTATCATTATGACTTCAAGTCTTCGTTGCAGTCTCAAACGGTTTTACTCCAATTTTAACTTGAGTAGGTGTATCACGTATTTTCGTTGATTAAGATAAATACATTTCTTGAAATTACTTCTATTCTCAAGAAATATTTCAAAATCCTGAGATCTTTTACAATAAATCTTTCATGTAAGACAATCTTGAGTTTCGAAATGCCTTCTTCATCGCTGCCAATGACAACTATATCATCAACTTAGAACAAGGACTAATTTGTATATAATTGATAAACTAGGGATTGCAACAATAAAAACTTCAAGGGCTAATTTATAGCAAGAAGAAAGGAAGTTCTAAAAAAGTCAAAAGTAAAATTGCAATAAATCAAATGTGCAAGGCAGAATTTCCAAATATAGAAAATTCAGGGACTGTCCATTCAACTGGGAAACTTCGGGGACCATTTATTTTTTCTTTTTATTTGTGTTTTTGTTTTTTTGTGTATTTAAAGTTCAAAGACTATAATATCAATTTAGGACAGAAACCATTAGAAGTGATGAAGTCTACTAATTATTCAGCTGTTGAGATAAAATAACCTAATAGTATGTTTGGCTAAGATTAAAATCAAATTAAAATTGAAAATATAGTCGTTATTGGGTCCCACTCGTCTAATAAAAGTCAACAACAACGGCTAATTTTTCAATTTTAATCCAATTTTAATCTTAGCCAAACATGGTCTATAATATTTTTTAAAAAGCGACTAAACTCAGGACAAATTGCAGAAGGTGGAGATCTATGGTGTAATAAACCCTTTAAACTTCTTTGCAAGTCCATTTTATAATGTGAATAATAAGTACTTGTCGGGTGAGAATTAAAATCAAATTTTTAGTAAATTTTGATAAAAATTAATAAAATATGCAATTGAAAAGTTTTGAATATCATAAAATATGTAGTTAAAAATAATTGTTGATTTTGACTTAAATCCAAATCGGGTGCGATAACCATTTTTACAAAACTTTTGTTTCCCAACTTATTTTCAAAAATACATTCTTTGAATAAAATACTTTGCATGTTTATTCAAAAAATTTCCTATATTTTAATTAATATATTTTTTAAAAATCACTATTCAAAATAGTCAATTTCCAAAAAAAAAAAATGTCTTTATAATGGTTGTTAATTTAGCCTCGTTTGATAGGGATTGAAGTCAAATTTTTAAATAAATTTTGATGAAACGTGTGGATTGAAAAATTATAATTCCTATGAAATATATGGTTAAAATTAATTTTTGATTTTAATTTCAATTAAAATATAAATTTTAATTCGAACCAAACAAAGACTCAAAGCAGTTCGACTTTTGAAATTATAATTTTAAGAAGAATTTTGCTATTTGTACATTGAATTAAAATCTTGATGTACAGTCCTTCACAATAAGGGTGTGTTTGTCTTCCATTATTGACAGAAAAATAGAGTAATGAATAGTATTTTTTTGAGAATGTGTGGTTGAAAAGTAAAGTAATTTTATTGGTTTGTGTGTAGAATATTTTATTTGATGAATGTATGGCGAAAAATCTTACTGTAGCAAACAAATTTTTGGAATAATGGTAGATAAACAGAGACTAAGAGTTTGTTTGGAAAGGATTTTTAGGGGAATAATTGATTTTGAATAGTGATACGATGGGAAATGTGTGGTTGAAAAAGAAGAAAAAATTATTGATGTGGTGAAAAATATTATTTTATTAAAAAATATATGATTAAAAATAAAAATTAATTTACTGTAGAAAAATCTAATACCCTCACAAACAGGGCCTTAAATTAAAATTCAATTTTACCTTTTCCCACATCGAATGTCAATAGAAAAGTAGAAGAGGATCTCTACTTTAAAAATGAACATCATGATGTTAGAAGTCACTATTGGACGTGCTAGTAAAAACAAGTGGGCCTCAAGTTAGTTGAAAAATTTTTAAAGAACATTAATTTTTTTCCTAATTTTTATTAATTTCGGATCGGATTATCGGATATCCGATAACATAACAAATCGGATATGGATTTAACCATCAAATATCCGTTGGATTGTCGGATCGAATCGAATTGGATAATTTTCTTATCGGATCGGATATAGGTAGATCCGATATCCGATCTGATCCGATCCATTTACAACCTTACCCGGTAGGCGGTGTCTGCCCAAACATTGCTTTTGTTGGTTTTTGATGTACTTGCATCGCGTTATATTTGAGTAGTCTGCCCAAACATTATTCAGAATGGCATCTGCTATTTGACCACGGCTTGTCATTTACATTTGACGTTTTTGAATACTAGTTATCCATAAAGAAAGTCAGTAGAAGTGAAATAAAATCCTCTTGCCATGATTGGATGTTTTTCAGTTTTTAATATGTGTTTTTCATAATTTGGCAATCTTTGTGACTGAGAATTGTCAACTTTTCTTTATTGGAGACAAAATGCAATTTTAGAGAGTGAGAATAATAAACTAGTATTCTTTATATTGTGAGAATCATATAAAGGCCAAACCCATATTACCAAATAGCAAGGCATCTTCCTCCAGCCTTATCCTAATTGGTGTTTTACACACATTCTGATCTTAATGACAGTTGTACTTTATGAACTCTAAACGTACATATTTCCAAACTCACTAATGAAGCCCAAGGAAGGGACAACCATTGTAAACTATAATTTTCCCCTTTAATTCATCCAAAATAATCAGTAGGATAGGAACTGAAACCTTGACAAAGTGAGACATCTTATTTCTTATCAACCTGAATACAATGTATCTTCTGTTTATATGCTATAGTTGATCCATGTTTCTGCATTAAATACCTTTACTACGTCGTTCCACTAAACCCATACTATTGACTTGAGGTTCTTTAAGAGATGAAACGCATATACACCATGCGTTTTATTTGAATGTTTATTGGTAACATCGTTTTCTATTCTTGGGTGCCCATCTGATACGAACCACTTATATTCCTTGTCACCATAAGTTTCCTTGAACCCCCCTTTTAAAACCCAATTTCAGTTTATTGTTCTCTAAATCGCCTATTTCGAGTTGTAGGATTAATATATTGTCTTTCATGTCTTGTGTGAAAGCTGTGAAGAGATTCCCTCTATATAGTCCGGTTAGCAGTGTAGTGTCAACAACTACTATCGGCTTGCAATATCCAACCCGTTTGTTGAAGCCCCCCAAGGCCATGAACAATATCAACTTCAAGTTTTGTTACTGTAGTTGAATTGTTCTCTTCATGTGTAGGTAAATCGGAAGCTACCATGCGTTAACATATGATCTCTTCATGTGTAAGTTCTTCTATTACATGTGTTAAGAATTATGTACCGAACCGATACCACTTGATTACTAGATAAAGGAACGAGAATAATATGACAATATGAAAATCAAACAAGAACACAAGATTTACGTGAAAAAGATACATGGACAGAAGAGGAAAATTTATTACAAATTATTGTGTAAAATACNGTACAGCCCGCTACAGTTAGTAGGGGCTCTCACAGTAGGAGATCCATGCGCGTAGGCCCCCTATTGTGAGTGGCTGCACCAAGGTACGAGTGAATTTTTCTATTGTGAGGAGATTATTCACTACACATAGAAAAATCCTTTTTAAGAAAATATTACTTGTACTACCGGGAATAGCATTATTTTATTCTGCACTGTCAGGAACATCAGCTTTACAGGGACGAGTCTTTTCGATAGTAGAACCTCTACGTTCCTAACCTATAGCCGAGCACGCCTTTTTGGGAAGCCAAAACCAAGAGAGTTGAATGCTTATCTACGTTGTTACTGCCTCCAACTGTACCCAGCTGAATTCGCACGCCCATTCGCTTGCAAGATCATTCATCCCTGATAGCTTGTCAAAGGTAGGAAGCAATTTCTGTGCAAGTTTTGGTCGGTAAACAAAGTTTGCGAGCGCATTTTGAGTGGAAAATGTATTTTTGAATGTTGATTTTTGAAATATGTATAATTAAAATTGAATAATTATTTTTTAATTTACATGTAATATTATTTTTTATTGAAAAATGTTTAGCTAAAAACAAGGTATGACATTATTTTCGTTTATTCTTTCTTTTGTCTTCTCACAGGTGCATTTTCTAACGTTGTTCCAAAGTGGAATTCTGAAGGGTTTTTCTCTGTATCTTTCTCCTTTTTCTGGGATACAAACATACAGCTGAATACGAGGGGCTAAAATGGCTTTGGGATCAGAAGCTGCAGAGGAACAACACGAGGTGTGCCCTACAGAGGATCTGGTACAGGCATTGATGGAGAATTTGGTTGATCCTAGCTTGCCTTCTAGGGTCTCAAAGAATGATCCTCCTGACCTTTCTGTTCAGCAAGCTGTTGCTAAACAGGTCTGGTGCAATTTCATGTTTTGTTTCGCTGTTATTTGCTCTGCTACTGGATTAATGCTTATGTTATTCGAAAGCTTCTGCAGTTCTGATTTCTCGAGGAACTGCAATTTTTGAGATACTGTATGCAATAAACTTGTACCCTGTTTGACGCCCATACATTTCAGACAATTTTTTCTACTAACCATATCTTTGCACTTAAAATATTCTGCACAAAAATTCAAAAATTTTCCTCATTTTTTAGCCATATACTCTAGAAAATTAATATTCAAAACTTTTTCCTGAAAAGTATAGTTGTCAAACGGGGGCTTAAGTGGTTAAAGAGTAATTTATTTTTGTTGATGTATAGCTGAACTGTCATTCATACATAAAAGCAAAATGTAAATGATTTGGGTTATGTCATGGGCTTCCTTTGAACCAACTCTTTCTTAAAGTTTAGGTAGAAGTTTAAGAGGCTATTGAGGGAAACAAATTATTTATCAAAGCTATATCTTCAACTGACACTCACGGACTAGCCTTTTTAGCTTTGTTACATTATAGATTTAAATCTTGAAGTGGTATATTGAAGAATTAAATGTTTGAGCACCTACCGAACTTTGGATAATGTCATGACTTACGAACATGAGAATGCTTCCTAATGGTCATTTGATTTTAGATTGTTGCACTACATCACTTACCGGATAGATTCCGTTTCACTTGAATCTTACTTGGACGATTAGGAATTTTATGTGGCAATTAACTCCATCCAAAATTGAAATCAGACGCCAACATGGACGCCACCTCATGAAATCCTAACATGCCTCCCCCCTTTTTAAAAATCGAAAACATGATTTCATATTACAAAATAAAATCTCCAATCAATTGGACATCCCCAAATCAATCTGACGCCCTAAATCACACCCCAAACCCTAACCTAAAAGAAATCTACCCTACAATCTAAGTCTACAACTCAACGATCGACCTAGACCACAAAGTTTCGATTGAAGCCATACATGGAGGGACCACATGAAAGTAATTGTAAAATCATTTTTTTATTCATTTTTTTTTTTATGTTTCTGAATTCGTGTCGTGGGAAAACATGTAAGATCGATTCAACCTATGCTGTTGTGGGGTAGACTTGAAAATGTGGTTAAAATATTCATTTATTTTGTGATTTTTATTTTATTAATCTAGTGAACACACAAAAACATATGTGATCATTTGAGTGTAATTCGATGGATAGACAAAAATCACGTAGATTTGCTTCTTTTATAATTTTCATCAATTCTATCTACATAAATTGGAATTTTTTTATTGCAATGAAATAACTTATATATGAACTGAAATGTGAAGCTACATAATTGAAATGATTGTATCTTTATGCTTTCTTTACTGCACATGTTTATGTTGTGCCCCTAATAATGAGTAAATCTTGTTATACTCTAATTTTATGACAGATTCTACAGACTATCTAGCCTTCATAGATTCTAATAATGACTCAGTGTATGTGGAAGACGATGTCTTGTATGGCCGAAATGTGACTAATGGATAAAACGGTCGTGAATGTGAAGCTGAGGATGAATGGGAAGAGGACAAGAATGTCGAATTAGATGAATTGAAATATCCATCGTCAAATGAGTTATTGTCGCAATGTTTATATGATGAGGAGGGTGGGTATTGATTTCTTGAATATTCTATTGAGACATACACTAAGAACACGCAGTTCAAGGTCGAGTAAATTTTTGGTTTTGCAATAGAATTTCGAGAGACTGTGAGAACTTACGCTGCATTGAACGAATATAATGTAAAGTTTAATGAAAATAAAGAGAGAAGAGTACATGCAGTTCACAAATTAGGTTGTAAATGGAAGATATGGGCTTCCAAAGTGGATGACACGAAAACATTGAAGGTGAAATAATACACATCGAAGCATACATGTAGTCAAGACAATATAACATACACTGCAATTACATTTTTTTCATACATCGTTATATTGATGAGTTCAAGAAGGACCCAGACCCAGATCCTCCATTTGTAGTCTAATTTGCATACTCTTGGCACTCTTCTATCTTAATTCGCCTTAAACTTTACATTATATTCGTTTAACGTACCGTAAGTTTTCATCGCCTCTTGGGGCTCTGCTGGGGAACTAAAAATTTGCTCGACCTCGAATTGCGGGTTCTTTACGTCCCTCTCGACAAAAAAATTAAGAAATCAATACCTACCGTTCATCCGTGATAATAGCTTATGTTATGACGGATATTTCAATTCATCTAATTTGACATCCACGTTCTTTACCCATTCATCATCAACTTTACATTCACAACCATGTAGTCCCGATGTTACATTTCAGTTATACAAAATATCTTCTTTCACATATGTAAAGTCATTGTTAGAATTTATGAAGTTTGGACTCTTCAAAATCTCTCATAAAATTAAGGTACAACAAGACTTACTCATTAGGGACACAACATAGAAGTTTATATGCAATTAAGAAAGCACAGCGATCTGAACTTCATTTCAAGTATGCAAATCTGCATTTCAGTTCATATTAAGCCATTTCATTTTAATAAAAATGTTCAATTTTATGTAAATGGAATAAATGAAAATTGCAATAAAAGCAAATCAACATGGGATCGTACTTGTTCGTCGAATTACACTCAAACGGCCTAATATGTTTTGTGTGTTCACTAAATTAATGAAAAAAAAAAAAAAAAATCACAGTACAGATGAATATTTTAATCATATTTTCAAGCAAATGTTACAACAACATGTTGAATCAATCACACAAAAAAATTACAAAATGGTATTTTAACTATACTTTCAAGCCCATGCCACAACATAGGTTGAATCAATCTTGTGATTTTTACCACGATAGGAATTTAGAAACACAAAAAATGATTTTGCAATTACCTCCTTGTGCACGACTTTAGTTCAAGCTTTGTGGTCCTCGGTTGATTGATAAGGTATAGTCTTCTAAGGCAGATTTTGTTTGGGTTTGGGGTGTGATTTAGGGGCGTCGAATTGGAGATTTTGTTTTGAAATGTGAAGTTGTGTTTTGGTTTTGAAAAGTGAGAAGCAGGTTGGGATTTCATGAGGTGGCATATGGTTTTTTATTTATTTTTGGATGGAGTTTAGTGACACGTAGAAATTTTGTCATCCACTCGGGCTTCAAGTGAAGCAGATTTTGTCCGGCGAGAGATGGAATGCAACGGCCTAAAATTGAGTGATAATTGGGAATATTCTGAAGTTAGGTGAGCCGTGACATTACCCAAAGTTCAGTGGGTGCTCAGACATTTAACTCGCATATTGAAGGTTATGTTTAAATAATAAATAAATGCCCCCTAAATACCAACTTAAGAGCTTTTCGATGAGATGGTTCGATACTTGTAGAAAGTATTTAAAACATGCTTTATATTTGGTATAGCCACTAATTTTCATTCCTATAGCTCTAATTGCTCCTTTTCTTCTCTATCTTTTCCCGGAAAACTCTCCATTTCCACTTTAGATGCACGCGGTTGTGTTGCTGTACAACTACTACCACCGAAAACAACAGCCCGAAACAGAGTTTCTGGATTTTGTGGCATTTTGTAAGTTGTCTGTTGTTTTGAGACAGACTATGATAGCTTTCATGAATCAAGGTGAATCTGCCGATTCGAAATATGGACTTTCAGTCACTGAGAAAGCAATCAGGGATGCGTGCAATATATCTATGGCTCTAGATGCGTCGAAAGATGTTCCTAATATGGAAGGATGGCCGATTTCAAAGGTTGCAGTGTTGTTAATTGATTCAAAGAAAGAAAATTGTTTGCTCCAATTTGGTAGTGTCACTCAGGGGGTTTGGTCGCTTATTGAAAAAGAGCTTGATGAATCTAACATGAATTCCGAAATTTCATCAAAGGGAAAGGTTGGTAATAAGAGGAAAAGAAACATTAGAACAACAGACGAAAAAAATGATGATGACAATGGATTTCTGCAGCTTGCATTTGATGCTGTTAAGGAAGTGACAGGTAAGTCATCAATTGTTATCTAATTGACAGCCAAGAATCTTGTGAAACACATTATTCTCATTTGGTGTCTCATCATGTATTTTTTCGTTTACATCCGTCGAACGAAAATTTGTATTGGAAGAATTAACGATATAAATGACACGCAGGAATGCATTTTTCACACTATTCTAAAATTGTTCAGATGTCGTAATTCTTCCAATACAAATTTGAAAGCCAACTCAAACTTTCTTATCTATGAATTTTACTGATGTTGTCTTGACATACTTCGCCTCCTGCATCGTTGGCCTATACACACATTCTTCGAACTGTTGAAATATCTCTTCAAGTTTTCAGAATAGTGGATAATTCTTGAATGTTTTGTTACAAATGGAACAGGTATCAACAGTTCTGATCTAGTGGTTTTGGAAACTCATATTTTGTATTCATTAAGTAAAGAGAAGACAGCAGCTCGCTTTTATATGATGCAATGCACCCAATCAATCAGTGAAGATAAAGGAATTCCAGTTGAAGATGTTGTGAGGAGGTTAGTTCAACTCGCTGCTATTTTTTTTGCTGACAATGTGATTGACTGACTGTTCATTATTATTAGTAGCAAGTAGTGAAACAGAGTCATTTCATCATATGGGAAGATGTTGGTCAAACTAACTCTAAGGTGGATCTGAGAACACACCTAATCTGATTTCCATATTATGCCTGTTCGTCAATAGGGCTAGTTGTTACTGGTACCACTCCTGCCTAAAAAAGCACCCAATGTCTTTTCTGTCCAAATACATGGTTTTGGTCATTGCATTGGGTGCGGAATAATCAATTTTAGGCTCAGGAAAATGTCGATCTCCAGAGCATGTGCTCAGCCATATTCACCAACCTACAATCGGCTCCAACAACTGCCCAATTTCACTGCCTAAATTGATAGCCTCCACTGTTTGGGTAATTCTGTAGTCTCCACGGTAGATGACTGAAACAACTAAAAAACCATCTCCTTTTGAAATCACTACCTATTGGTGTCTTTTTTCAAAGAAAAGCACCTTCGTGGCCATTCTTTCCCCTTGAATTAGCATGCACACCAAATGTGCAAGACCATTATAACTATATAGTAGCATGCCTCTTGACTTTTCATCTTCTTTTACTATTTGGGGACTTGAGATATCCTTGTGATACCGAGGCATGAACTGCTTTCCTGCTGTAACCTGTAACATGGTCAGTGCCTAAATGTGCAAGACCATTTTCACTATATATTAGCATGCCTCTTGACCTTCATCTCCTTTTACTACTATAGGGACTTAAGAAATCCTTAAGATACCACTTCATGAACTGCAAACCTGCTGTAATCAATTACTTGGTTGGTACCAAAATTTATCGGCCATTTACGTTTCCCACTTATGGGAACACTTGATTGCCCGCCTAGCATATGCAGTCTTCAAAACCTTCACCAACAGTAATACCGTCTGAGATACATGCTACGATCGTCTGCAAAGCACACATATTTACAATGCTCACAAGGTATTAAACATAGGTTCAGAGAAATATAGAGGTACCTGTACAGAGTCTAGTAGGTGGGTTTTGGGTGGGGTAGGTTCTGGAGTTAGGTAGGCCAGGACAGTTACCTTCAGGCTGCAGACTGGTACTGGTGGGGATTAAAGTTTAAAGAGTACGGCGAAGATGAAGCAGGAGGCAGAGAACAACAGGAAACAATGGAATTTGAGACGTGGCAAACAGTTGGTAACTTTTATTGTATTCTTCTGTTCGAAGACTACCTACTGACCGTGGGACAGGAATATAATTAGAAATCCTTTTATTCCTTGGTCCTACCAAATATGTGAATTTCAATGTTCATGACTTAATTATATCGTCTTTCTATCTCCATTAGATTTTAAATTCTCTCAGTGCTGCTTAAATTAATTTCAATTTATCACTGCCTTCACTGGTCACATTAGGCATTTCTGTTGATCCTGTAATCAGTTCAGTCTAATTTTAGAGGTGACCTGCAATACAGTCCAGCATTTTTAAATGTGATTCTGGTGCATTGCAGTTGAAATTATGGATATCTGCCTTGTTACTGGCTAATAATTCATATTTGTCTTCTAACTGTATTTGTTTCCTTGTTCTCCATTAAAGTTGATGCCTAACACCTCTTATAAAACTTCTGTTTGTCAGTTTGCAGGGCCCTTTCATAGAAAAGATTTGTCGTAGCTGGACAATTACTCCTGCTGTTGAGTATTATCACATGCATCCCTATGCAGGGATCATATCACAATGGTTTTTGAGGTACAACATCTATCAATCGTGTTTCCCTTTATCACTTTCTGCTTGTTATCTTTTAAACCTTATGTTGACAATTCCAAATTTACATGTTTCAAATTGACAATGGTGGATATGTTCCTATTTGAGAATAGAATAATAGATTATCAGGGTAATCCTTGATTGAACCGTAAAATTTTATCTGCTGCTTCATTGTGCTTGTAGGCTTGTGAAGATTTCACAAGTTCTCGTATCATTTTTCATGAACCCTTGTACCTTTTGTTGGTTGGTAATTGTGTTCAACTATGTAAGCATCTAATTTTATTATATGAAAAAAAGAGATCAGAGTTAGTGATCGTTGGCAGCACTCTGGTGACCAAAAATCTTGGGTAGAACTATCTTGCTTCACTATGCCGAAGTTTACCAATGTACTTTTCTTGTGGTTCAGAATAGTGAAATGTTGTATAAGATGAACAGAATAGGGGAGAACCTTTTGGAAAGTTTCCATCTTTATATTCTTCTAAAACATGTTGGAAAATATATTGACTCTTCATAATATGGTATGACACAGTCTTCCTGGCATCGTCCCAATGTGCAAATGACTTCTCAGATCACATACTAATTTCAATTTTGAATGCAGCTGGACCTTGTTTCAGACCTTGTAGAGTTTATGTACATAATTTTGTGTTTTAGTGACTCCTTTCTTTCTAGCCTGCCTACCAAAAAATGGTTAAAATAAGAAATCTATACACCAATAAGTGGAGGTGACACCTAGGATAGACTAAAGTTCTCTTATGTTTAAAACAGAGTTTGCATAGATCATGTTAAAAGACGGAATGATAGACCAAAGTTATTGTGGTCTATCAAGGTGGTTGCAAAAGATTTCATTTCGTTGAACTGTTGAGAAGATGTAGCCATGGATATAATGAGGATGAGGGTGTCAGTCTAATAAGGGTTAGCTACTTGGTTGTTTCTGTTTTTTAGCCTTCAAGAAAATCTTTATTTGTTTTTAATTTGTTTTTCCAAATGAATGTTTCTATTCGTTTTTTCAGCTTGTTGGCATCGACTAACCCATTAAGTCTGGTTTGTGGTGAATTAAACCGCAATAGGGAGGGCCGGTTGTATGCTGAAAATAATTTGTTGCTGGATTGCATGTTGTAAGAATAGCATTTGAGTGAAATTAAATAAAATTGATCTCAATTTTTTGTTCCATATAGCAGTGCAGCTCCATGCTTGCTGGGTGTATTTTTAGGATTAGTTATGCTAGTTCGGTTCTAAGACCTAAAGATCTAGTATCATGGTGCATTGGTTTGACAACCTGCCAATTGATGCAGGAAATGTTCATCTATGTCAAGTTCAGACGGTGGTAACTCCCAAAGTGCTGAAGTTACTGAAAGCAAAATACTGAATTTACCTGAATTAAAAAACATCAACAAGGACTTGGATCATGTCGACAGCATGCGCGGTCAGACTATAGACAACTCCTGTGAAAAACTAGCTAACGAGGACAGTGACAGAAATAATTACAAACATCCATCTAGTGGCATAGAGGCAAGTCCTGTTAACATCTCTCAAGGGCCAGGAAAAGATGATAATGGCACAGATAAATGTAAGGAAATTTATGAGAACATTGATTCTTCCAAGGAGGCAGACAACATTGATGAAGTTTTAAATCAGAATGTTGGAAAAGAATGGCCAAAGGTTTCACCATCTGACACTCTCGGTGAGCTGCAGAGAATAGACATGGATGCCTTCCCAAATACTTATCTCAGCAATGAAGATGCAAGGAAGAATCCGATATCAAAAATCAAAGTTTATCACAAGAAAAAGAACTCTTCGTCTATACAGATCGATGCATGTGCTCCGGTGGATAGTGTTGAAATGGAGGTAACACATTTTTTGGTCTATAATCATTTTTACAATTGTCTTTAAAACTCCTACTGTGATTCTTCTGCAAACATTTTTATTTCCTGTTTCAAGAACTTGATTACCTTTTGCACATAATGCATGATATGCTACAATATTATCTTCACCATGTTGTTGAAATCTCAGACCAGCAATATTTATTGTCAGAGCAAACTACCACTGAAATTTAATGAAACTTCTGGTTGATATTATTTGAATCTATTTTAAATGAACAACCAGCCACAAACATAAATCGTGATTGCTCAAACGTGCCCTCACGGTAAAAAAATTTAAATAGCACGCTTTAGTTTAGGTTAAGATGCAGACACACTAACACATTTTGATTAAAAAGTGGATATAGACACTGGTTAAAATAATTCTTTTTTAGTGTAGAGCAAATAGAAAAATGTCTCTGAATATATTTTCTGCGATCGTGGTGTCTTGTATCTGTGTCCAAGTAATGATCTGACCTCCTGGTTTTTAGTTTACACTGGGGACAATGTGTCAGCCTGTGTTGATTCATTAAAATGGTTTGTCAGGTGGAGATGGTGGACTCTTTGAAGTCAAATGATATTCAAGACAGAGATGTCAAGGTTTCTGGAGAGAATTGCTATGTCAATATCTCATCCAATCAAAATGGGATTCCTTTCGCCAATGCTGATCTGGTTCCCTTGGAGTCTAACAAGTGTATTGAAGAAGTACAAAATACATCAGCTTCAGAGGCACTGCAGAATTGTTTGACACTTCTTTATAGAAGAAGACAAGAAGTGGTAATTTTTCCATGCTTCTGACCTATAACTATTGTAAACATTAGAGCGGGAAAAGGATATGGAGAAGGAAAAGAAAAAGAAAAAACAATAGCAAACCCCCACCCCCTAAGAAGCACGGATACGGATATGGATACGTAATTCGAATATAATACGATATGGGTACGCCGATACGACTTTTAAAAAACAATAGGATTCGGGGATACGTTTTACAAAATTCATTAAAAAAAATTAGAACAAAAGCATAATAATAAAAATAAAATAAAATACTAAAACATTCTATATTAATCCTTCATCAACATCAATTTCTTCATTATCATTAAAAATAACATTCTACAAGTATGGCTTATCTAATAATAGATTAGCAATCTCAAGTAATCTAAGACCTTCAAAAGTATCAAATGAGTTTTCAGCAATATCCTACATTTTGGATTCTCTCTTTGAACAGAAATCTAATTTTCTTGATAAAAGTATACTCGATACTTACTTTTAGTTAAGAAATGCTCATTGTGGAATTGTTTAATTCCTTCCCGTATAATGCACAAAAGATTATGTACTTTAATTTCTTTTAGCACAATATAAAGAAGGTTGAGCAAAAAGTTTTAAAGCAATGCTTTGAAGCAAAATGCACGTGAACCATAAAGTAGCAACCAAGTCTTTGAATGCACTATACTGATTAGTGATAGAATGAGATTCACCTATAACACTTTTCTTCACTTGTCCTAATGAATCGGAAACATATCGAAAATAATTGAAAAATATAAAATAATTAAAAAGTACATATCTAATACGTATCGAAAAAATAAAATAAATATAAATAATTAAAAAAATCATGTATCCGGTATGTATCAGAGGCTATCTAAGCTTGGATAAGTATCAAATACGTGTACATAATGAATTTATAAGTATGCGCCCCGCCTCGACCTGAACACCACCCCCCCCC